CTAATCCACTACCAGAGGCTCCCTGGAGTGCAGAGGCCTCCTTATTGACATCCATGTTCAGGGGTCTGGATTAGTCTTGTACTAGCCTCCCAGATAGCATCTGGGGTTGATGTGCTCTCCCTTGTTCAGGCCAACTGTTCCTGTGTGTTTCTCCAACCTGGTACAGACCCCTTCACTCTTCATTTCTCCCTCTCTTCAACTAAATTCTAGACTTCAGCTCAGTGTGGATGTCTGTCTCTGTTTCCATCAGCCACTGGATGAGGGCTCTCGTTCGGTTGGTGGAAAGGGATGGAAATGCCTTTAAATGTTTTATTCTTTTAAAAATACATCATTTTTTCTATTCTAGTAACAAAATATATTGACATATATATATATATATATATATATATATATATATATATATATTATAAATAAAACTTTTTGATTATAAGCAACAGAAACCAAGTCCTTTTAAAGGTGAAATTATTGAAAATATATTGATGGTTTGCTGGATTACATAGATCATATTTGAATATCACCAGGAACCAAGAGGGCCCTGGCATGGCTGTTTTGCTTAAGGCACCAGCCCTTGGGTAGAATAAGAATAAGTCATAGTTGCTGCTTTCTGACTCTCAAGAATCAAATCTAGGTTGTTTGACTTGTCCACAGAGGAAGACAGGGCCTCTGATTACTGTTCCACAGTATTACATCCAGTGGGGAAGACCCCCAACAGGAAGTACTAATGCTGTTAAGAATTGGCCCAAATGGTGAAAACCAAAACATAAACTAAGAAAATACTCCTCACAAGCAGCCATAATTACCGGGTTTTCAAAGTCAAATTTATGTTAAAATGGAATATAAATCAGAGCTTTAAAAAAAAATAAGATCTTGACTGCCATAAATGTTTGTATGTATGTATGTATAAGGTAATTTTGCTTTTAAATTGAATAGAATGTCTTCATGTGTTATATATGTTGTATTTTCATCTTTTTAAAAAAAACAATATAGCTGTTACCATTATAGTGATTATTCTTTGTGTATAACATACTTATAGCATATAGTATTGCTATATATAGCAATATTCCCAACATAGTTATATTAGTCAGACTGCTTCCCATTGCTATAACAAATTTCCTAGATAATCAATTTAATAAAAAGTTTATTTTTGTCTCACAGCATTAAAGGTTTCAGTCTGTGGTGACACATTGTGCAGGAGTATGTGATATAAGAGTGTGTGTCCCTAGTGACCAAATGACTACCCCAGAGTTTCTGTCACTTCTCATTAGGTCTTAACCTCTTCACTGTTTTTACCTTCCAGTAGCACCAGGCTAGGGACCAAGTCTTTACTCATGTGCCCTTAGGGAACGTTTAGAGTACAAATCACAGCAATAGTCTGCCAGTGTTAGATTTTGATCGACTTTAATCAATCTCATTATTTTTGCTTTGTGAGAAAATTATTATTTTTTTCAGATGTGGTTTTAAAACTTTTGCCATTTAATCTAGTAACTTATTTGTCTGTGCATCCTTTTGTTTTTGCTTTTTTTTTTTTTAATTTTGGGTGTGTGTGTGTGTGTGTGTGTGTGTGCCAGCCATATGTGTTCACCTGTTCAGACATGTGATCTACTCAGTGTAGGTGCTGGACACTGAGTCCTTGTCCTCTGGAAGAGTAGCAAATGCCATCAACCACTTTTTCTTAACCACTCATTTTTTTAAATGTTATGAATATGTTGGTTAGTACTTACATGTGTGGTTGTGTACCACATGAAGGCCTGGTGCTCTCAGAAAATACTAGAGGGTGTCACAGCCCCTGGAGCTGGAATTAAAAGTGGTTACAAGCCACCATATGGGAGCTGGGAATTGAACTCTTAGGTCCTCTGGAAGAGTGGTCAGTGCTCTAACCACTGGCCCACTGTGCCATTTCTCCAGCTACACAGCAAGTGCTATTAGTTGCTGAATCATCTCTCTAGCTCCTTGTTTTCTCTGTTGAAACAGAATCTCACTTGAGCTCAGGCTGGCCAGGAATGTGCTACCCACACATTGGCCTCCAAAGTGCTAGGTTTACAGGTTGTGCTTGTTTTACAATCAGAACACCACAGTCTTTATCAGTACTTGTTATGTTTTATGTTTTAGGGAACACTTCCTGTGGATTATCTTAACAACACTGGTCTCTTCAAAGCAGAGAGCATGCTTACCAATGCAGTACAGATTCTTGAGCAGTTCAAGGTGAAAAACAATGAACTATACTATAAATTTTAAATGTGTTAAGTCAAATGTTTGATTTTATATTTTAATGATTAATTTCCTATAACTTAGTATCTTGGGTTTTGAATATTTGCTTAGTGTCATAAATGAATGAAAAAGAGAAGTAAAAAGGAAAGGAAAGAACACCACTGCCCCTATGTGTGGTGGAGGAGAAAGTTTACTATGGATATGTGGGAGAGAATAGCCAGATGCAGGCACATCTGGAAGAGTCCAGAGTGGACGTGACCCTGAGCCATGTGAGGGAACGGGGAGGGGGAGAAAGAGGGTGGAAATGGAAACCAGGTGCAGCAGCCAAGAGGGCAAAGGTACAAAAAGGGCATTTAACCGAATGGTTGGTTTATATAGGGAAGAACCTCTGGGGAAAGGGCAGCCCAGCCACTGGGCTGAAGAGTTCAGGGTAGAGGGCTGGGTATGCCAACTATACCCTGTAACAGGTATGGACTGAGGGATGCTGGGAGAACCAGGTCTACTTGGATATATGTTAAATAGGTACCTCAGCCATTGTCCTAGGTTTGAAACTCACGGTTTATTTTTTTTTTGTTGTTTTCTTTTTTTTTTATTTCTGAAGTACAGTTTTATGGGTCAGTTAGAGGGTGAAGAATTGCCTTTGAGGAGTGTCACCATAAGATTGTCCATATATACTCACAAAGACTACAAGTCAAGTTCTTATTTATTGGAATATGCCCAAAAGAAGTAGACTGGAGATCACAGCATTACAGAGATGATTCTCTGATGTTACTTTGCCTTGCTTCATTTTCAAAGAGTTAAGGAAGAATTGTAATTATATTACAGTACACTATTTTTCTAAGATTGATGTACTTAATTCTCAGCTTTCTGAGATAGTAAAGTATTATTTAATTTTTTTTATTTATGAAATAACACAATCAAATAACATAAAATTACATTTATTTCCAAAGAAGTTAATCATCCCTGAAGAGCCATTTTAATTGATATTTATATTTCAGAATTAAATTCATTATTTTTTCTCATTTATAATATGATATTTTCATGCTTGGTTCCCAGGTGAAGATGACTCAGAAAAAAGAAGTTACTTTACCATTTTTGTTTACACCATTTAAGTAAGTCTTAAATATTTTAGTAACTTGAAGGAAAAAAATTTGCTTGAGTTTGATGCCAATAAGATAGATTATGTATAAACATTGTCATTTTTGTGTGTAGTAAAACAGATGCCAAACTGAAGTCCTCTTCTGTTACTTTTGCTAATGAGCCAAACATTGTATACCTCTGAAAGGCTGGAGGATGTGGGCACTGTAAATGGCTTCATAGCAGGATGACCTGGTAGTTTACTTTACATATGATGATGTTAACTTTTTAATTAGACATGGGTCCTTCGATATCAGATCTGGCTGGGTATTGAAGATTTTGGAGCCGTCACTGTGAATGATGGTGACAGTGTTGTGCCCAAATTCTGAACACCAAAATCACCAAGAGACCCAAACTGATGCAAAAGCAAAGAGTGATTAATAAATTAAGGAGTTAACTGTACTAACTCGGGTCCTCTGTCTGTTCGACAGAGCAGGTGGAGCAAGAAGGACTCGGAGGGACTGCAGTTCAAGGAATTTATTGGGGTAGAGCAAGGGGAGTGTCTGCGGTCCAAAATAGTCACAGGGTTGGTGCACCTCTGGCTTGGGTGACCTGTCCTGTGTTGATTTGTCAACTGGTTGCTATGGCCTACAGGCCCTCCCAGGGTGGTTGCTATGCTCTGTGCCCTAGGTAAAGCACATCCAGAACCCACCAGCTAACTTCTGATTGGTTCCTTGACACATGGAGGGTATCTGGCTTTCTAGTGACTGGGGAAAGGTTGGAAGTTCAGCACACGTTGCTGAGTCAGAGGCCTACATCTTTCTGGGTCTTTTCTGCAGCCTGTTATGACTGCCAAAGAAGGGGGCTAGGGGAGGGTCTGGTTTCTTCAATAGAAACTGTTCAGTATGTGGAAGGCTGTGGGTAGAGTATAGAAAGTGACAGGGAAAGTCCATGTGTGGTATTTGGACAAACATTGGTTCCCACCAGTGGGCAAATATAAGAGCCACTTTGATGGGCACCAGATTCTGTTGTTCTAGATCGCAGAGAAGATGTATTTTTCCTGAACGAACAAAAGGCAGATCTGAATCCTCTGCCTTGCTCTTTATAACTGACTGTATGTGTGGGTTCAACAGGTTTTATCAGACTCTTGGCAGTTCATATTAAGAAGTATTTTACTTCTGATAAAAAAATACATTGAGGTTATAGGAGTTTTAGGAATGTGATTTCATTGGAATTATGATTAAATGATTTCATTGGAATTATCATCATCATTAACTCACTGGAATTACTTTTGGCAAGTTTATAATACAGATGTGGACTTCATAAACCAGAAAGGTTTAAATAATGTAATAGTATGCTTGTTTTGTGTGTCCGTATACGTGTGTGTGTGTGTGTGTGTGTGTGTGTGTATTTATTCATGTATATATGCATGGAACTTTAAGATTCAGTTTTTCATTTTAGTTTTAACTTGCTTTCAACAAATGAATATTTTCAGACAAGCAGGTCTACAGGTTAGGCTGGTCACTTTTGTTTCAGGTTAGTGAGCAGTTGGTTAGGCTGAGCCCCCAGATGGCACAAATATAGCAATGGCTGTGAGTATGTATAGTAACCTGTATGTATGTGTTTGTGTTTGTATGTAGTACTTATCTCTTTTTTTCAAGAAAGACTTATTGACTGAACACTTTATTTGTTAGTTTTAATTGTTGTCTTGACACAATCTAGAATCAGCTGGGAAGAGACTCGTAATGAGGGACTAGCTGGATCTGGCTGGCCGGTGGGCATTTAGGTGAGGTATTATCTTGATTATTTTCATGGGAATAGGTATATCCACTTACTGTGGGTGGTGCCATTCCCTAGGCAGGGGATTATGAAGCTTGGACCTACCTCTGTAGAAAGGCAGGACAAGAACAGAGTCTTGAAGGGCATGAGTGTACTTTTGCCTTCTACTTGGCTTAGTGTCTAATGCTAAGTTTTACTTTGATGTTCAACTTCGGCCTGCATATTGCTATCTGTATTTAGAGATATTGCTTGATGTCATGTGGGGGCTTGGCCCAACCAGTGGCTCATCTGCTTGGAGCATAGTGATGAGACCTGTTTCCAAAGTTGTTTGGCTAAAAATCACTCAACTTGAAGTCTTGGTGTCACCAGAAAAACCAAAGATGATAAAATGCAAAATGACTCTTTAAGATACATAATTCAAGGAGTAGAACCTCAATGTGTTAAAAATCCTCAGAAATGTTTAATATACTGTTGACATTCATAAAACTAATACTCACTTTGCAAAATGAAAAAAAAAATAGGACAGTATTAAAAGAAGGAAGGAGGGGCTGGAGAGATCATTCAGCAGTTGAGTGTAAGTTCAGCTCCTGCAGAGGACCTGCATCATATCCCCAACACACACCAGACAGCTGAAACTGCCTGTAACTCCTGGTTCAGGACATCAAATACACTTTTCTAGCTACCATGGACACGTGCACACTTATGGTGCACATAAACTTATGCAGGCATGCACACACAATTAATAAATATTTCTTGAAGAAAAATGCAACTAAAACTTGAAAGATAAATTGAACAAGAGACAATTCTTCCAAATTAGATAGTAAGTGGAGCTTTAGTGAAGGAGATGAATGTATTGCCAGGGAAAGCTGGATAGATTTAACAGCAGTATGGTGTACAGGAAAACTTACTTTTCGTCTGTCCTCTTCCTCATGACAAAAGAACTCCTTGGGTGTCACATGATTTTAGACAGTTGCTGGGAGTGTGAGAAAAGTGATTCTACATTGTTAATTGGATCAAAACTTGATGGAATAGATGAGAAAAATCTAATCATAGCACAAATCTTTGATAGTCAATGAACAGCATTTAAATGATAGTCATACATGTAAATACTGGTTTTCAGCTTTTAGTGTCAATCCTTAGGCAAAACAGGGAAGAATTAATTATAATTACAGATTAGGATGTAAATGTTGCCACCCTTGACAATGTACTAGTATAGTTAACAGTTGGAAGGCAGAAGGGAAAGGAAACATAAAATGTGGTGGTCATACTAACCTCATAAACTATTATATAGAAGATTCTGCCTACTGAGTGACTAAGATAGAGGTTTAGGTAGTAGATGATGGCAGTACCATGATGTATAACAAGCAGTGTGGTGACCAGGCTGAGGAATAAGGAGATCTAGAGGCAGCAGCAGGTCAACAGAGAATGTGTTGGGTGATGAATCATGACTTAGTGTTAAGAATGCACATGGAGAAAGCTATTAGAATAGTTTGAAGCAAACAGATAAAGAGGTTTTGTCCCTGTGGATTGGTGAACTGAGAAACAGAAGGTTATTTTTGCATTATCATTATGCTGTTCTGTTCGCTTGACATTTTAAAAAAATTGTACGGTATATTTTGATCATATTCTGCCTCTCCCCTACACCTCTCAGATTCTCCTCACCTCCTTACTCACCCAACTTCATGTTATTTCTTTCTCTCTTAAACAAACAACAAACCAGCAACTCCCTCCCCCAGTCACAGTCTTCAGAGTTTTTATTGCTGTGAAGAGACACCATGACTATGGCAATTCTCATAAAGGAAAACATTTAATTAGGAATAGCTTACAGTTTTTGTCTGTTATTGTCATGGTGGTGTGTAGGCAGGCATGGTGCTGGAAAAGGAGCTAAGACTTGTGTCTCTTGATCTGCAGTCAGCAGAAGCAATTGTGTGCCTCAATGGGCTTAGCTTGAGCATAGAAGATCTCAAAGCCCTTCCTCACAGTGACAGACTTCCTTCAACAAGGCCATACCTCCTAATAGTGCCACTCTCTGTAGGACAAACATTTAAACACATGTGTCTGTGGGGGTCATACCTATTCAAACCATCACACCACCAAAATTCAAAACAAACAAAAACCCCAATAAGACAAAAACAAAACAAAACAAAAAGCACACACAGTTTTCAAGTGATATTTTATTTTGTTTTCTTGATTTTCAAAAATTACATATATTGCTCAAGGTCATGAGTTTGGAACTGTCTGAGCAGCAGCATATTGAGGCTGTCATCTAAGGAAAGAAATTTGAAAAATAGACTTTGTAATCTTTGATACTAACAAAATAGAATATGCAACAGGAGAAAGGATACCATTCAGAGTAAAAGTAAAACAGAATATAATGGAAAATGTGCATTGTGGAAAAAAGCTACAAAATTTACTTTAGGTCATAATAAAATATAAATAAATATTGACTAATATTGTTAAATATCATCAAATAGTAGCACTATCTTAAAATTTACTAACTACAGAATAATAATTTTCCATGTAGTCCAAGTTGTTTCTCAAATTTTATATAGAGTTTTCAAGAATAGCTTAACTAATCCTAAGCAAGAACTATATAATGACATTTTCATTACTAGATAGCAAATGCATTCTAAAGATACATCTAAAGCACATTGGTGCAAGTATAGCATGTAATTACACATACTGACTTGGTAATACATAAAGAATTGATACCTATGAGATAATTGGCTTTGATTCCAGATGGCATTTAAGATCAGGGGAGAAGGCTTACATACAGCACATTACCTTCGCACTGGAAAAATATGGCTAGATCCTGCTTATGCCAGTCATAAATTAAATTCCACATTGATTGAAAATGAAATAAAATGCTTCTTAAAAAGCAAAAGTGTGAATCCCATAAACAAAATAAGTCATAAGGGAAAGACAACTTGAATATATCAGAATTAAATGTTGTGTTCAATAAACTAGACCATAAAGATTAAGTTATTTTCAGATTTGGAGAAAATACTTGTAGAGTATGTGACAAGCATTTTAATTTATGCTCTATGGAGAATTTTATATATCAGGTCAGGGAAATATCTCAGACAATAGAGTGCTTACTGTTTACATCTGAGGATCTGAGTTCAATTTCCAGACCCTATGTTAAAAAAACCAAACCCAAAAAGAAAAAGAAAAAGGCCAGCTGTGTGTGCACTTGTACTTTTAGCACTGTGGAGTCAGAGACAGGCAGATTCCTGGGGCTTGCTGGCTTGATGTC